AAACCGTGTATGGCAGTGCGTAGCGTATTGTTTCATTTACAACCAAGACCACTTCGCAAATGGGGAAACCATTGAAAGTCTATCAATTACATTCAGTGCATTTTGCAAGTCTGTTCAAGCCACAGTCCCCCTAGGTGAATGCTCGGAAGACATGACGCCTTTTTGGTTACTTCAGCCTTCTTTGCCTTTTCTATGTGAAATTTGTCAAATTTTATCATACAAGCAACATATCTACCGAAACGTTCACGTTAACAACTCATTTACATAATCAAAGCTCAGTGCAGACGTTTAAAGCTTGATATATTGAATTGTTATCTGAAATAACGAAGATACAATGCAGACAAAGAGCAAAGCTACCGCTACTGCAATGGTCGCTTCTGAGGCAGTATTTAGTCAATCTCTCAAACACGATGGTGCGCTGCTTTACCCAAGAGCCCCACTCGATCAAGCGCTTATAACGATATAGCATCCGGTCCAAGATCAGGATAAGAGCCGCGATCATGGAGTAAGCAGTCACTGCGGGAGGCAGCCTTGCGCATTGTCTGCGTTTTCAAATGTCTAGTACGAAAACAATAATTAGATGAAGATTGGCAGCTTTTTATGGTTTTTCGGGCAGGAGTTTAAAGATTTCCTCCAGCTCTGGAAGCATATCTCTGTAGAGTTGCGACTTCTTCGAATCCGGCGATGATTTCTTCTCTATACTGGTGTCTTTGTAGTAGTCGCTGTATGATTCCTTAGGCGAGTAATAGGCTGTAATGGTAATGAAAAGGTTTAAATTATTAAATGGAATGAATTTTTATATAATCACCGTATCTAGCTAGCCGTGCTCCACCCAAAGGAGGGGAATCAGGAACGTCGATGATGTATAGATCCATATCAAACATATCCGAAAGGATTTGCTGTAGGTCCGGATTATTTGACGCACCTCCAGTTATGAAGAGACGACCTAAGTAAGGAAGTAAAACGATTAAACTATGACAATGGCGGCCGGTAGAATCTTTGTACAGTCTTACTGTGTTTACTCTTCGAAGGCCCTCAACTGGTTGTTGAAAACTTTGTTTGCAAAAATAAACTGTATTAACCTCAACAAAATTTGTCAAGGGTTCCTATAGCAGTAATGCTCCTCACCGTGTGTCGATTCAAAACCCATGGCCTTGGCAAAGTAGAGCTTCAAAAGCGATTGACCTTCAAGAAGTGCTCGAGCCTCAATCTGGAATTTGACTTCTTACTTTTCAGAGACTCAGGCTTTTCCTTCCAGACATATCAAACTGCTATCCATTTTCAGTTTCATCTCGCCCACAACCATTTCCATTAGAAAAATCTGACCTTCTTCCACCTTTTGTTTACCCTCACCTCTGGACTGAACTCCTTCACCTTCTCGTACTTTCCATTCTTCTTTACGAATCTAAAGTCTCCTTTGTACACTCGCGGAGCAATCTCATCTTCGTCGAAATAAAATCCTGAAAGTTTCTTAGAGATCCTGCATTGAAAGATATGACTCTTATTTTACCGATGTGTCCATCATTTCCAGGCTTGGTCTTCGATATAAGTTTGCTAAAATCCTCCCATTCACAATTAAGCTGCTTTCGAATTCTTTCACGAGTCAAGGAACCATTCTTGAAACTGAAATATTTTAGGGTCATAGATGTTTGCGCTCAAAAGCGAACAAAAAATCGGGTAGTGCTAGTTTGTGCCCCTTGCGCGTTGCATAGAAGTGGCAGAACTCAGAGGTACTTGTTTTTTGTTTTGTGAA